TTCTCTGCCTACTGCCACGTACAGATCCATATAAACTGAAGTGAACTTCATGAAACAAAATTTGCTGGCAAGTACCACAATGAATTTTTGGGTTTCGACCTACAAAAAGTTATTTTTGAATGTGGACAAAGGAGAACATGGGACAATTTCTTGTACAAATGTAGCACAAGCACACCCCACACGTGGCGTACATGATTTCTAATCTACCTGTTTGCCAAACCAGAAAAAATAATTTGAAGATTCATGAACCTCTGGTGGGTGCTTCTCCAGTATCGTACAGATGGATTTCCTGGCCGATTGCTTCTATTGCTGCTTCCAGTGCTCGTGTCCCACGCTGGTGCTCATCTTCGACGGTTTTTACAGTTTTCAACAACGATGTCACATTTGTTACCATTACCTGAAGCAAATTCCTGTACCACATAAATAAAGGTTAAACTAAAGGAACGTTTACAGAGAAACCAAATCCTCCATAAGAACAGTAGAATGAAGATGCATGAGAAAAGTTAATAAAGTTTATTAATGATGGCATTTTTAAAATTTATTCAAAAATAATGGGATGAACAGGAATGTTTCGTTAATCCTGCTGCTGCTAACTTTAGAGACAAGCTGTGCGCACCACGCATTACTGAAATATACCGGTAGGAAAAAAAGTGGACCTAACGACAGCTTCAGATCGAACAATTCTTAGCACTTTCTTTGTCATGCGTTTTTATGCGTTTTTGCATATATGCAAATTGCAAAAACGCATATTGGGAAGAGGCTGTCTGTGTGTATGTGTGTGTGTCTGTGTGTCTGTGTGTTGGCGCTTTTTGTCACCCACTTTCAACTCGAGACCCAGAAAAGCTAGAAGGCTGAAACTTTGGGGATATGTACCCTTACCATGCGCGACCCTCCCGTTTTAATTTCATGTCTCTTGTACGCCTGGGTGCCGCGAACGGACGTAACCATGCGCGACACTCCCGTTTTAATTTCATCCCTCTTGGACACCTGGGTGCCGAGTACGGACGTTTTAAAAAAAATATGCAAATTTTTTGGCGGGAAAGCGATCTCAGGAACCACACGAGCTAAGGGGCTGAAACTTTGTAGGGGTATTCCCTGTGCATGTACTAGCTAAAGATTTCAAATTCAGCTTCCAGATATGCGTAGTACGCACGCAAGGACGCTTGAAAGTTTTAGGGTGAAAATTGCTAACTCGGGTACCAGGAAAGCCAGAAAGCTGAAATTTTCGTTTGAAAGTTTTAGGGGGAAAATTGCTAACTCGGGTACCAGGCAAGCCAGAAAGCTGAAATTTTGCAGGAATAGGAGGAAAATTGCTAACTTGGGTACCAGGAAAGCCAGAAAGCTGAAATTTTGCAGAAATGTTCCCTATCGAAGTACAATTCAAAT